GCCAGATTTTACAACAATCATTTACTTTTGAAGTAAATTCTTAACTCTTCGGTTTCCTACTGTGTGGTTTGTGGCTAATCCCAGCCTCATGGTTTTCCTCCAGCCTTTCCACCTTCAGCCCTTCCTACTGCTCAGTGTGTCTTTGAGCACAGATGCAAAAACTCATTCTCCTTTAGAAAACTTCCCTTTTCTATGTTTCTACTTCACATACACAATGTTTTGTAAATGGCTTATTCTGTGTAAATATCAGTCAATCTAACTGAACTGAATCAAGCTACCTGGTATCTGTCGTAATCACTGGGAAGTTTACAATGGGAGTTGCATAAAAACTTAAATCATCCACCCCAATCTACTCACTATACCATGAATTTACAAGTCTGAATTTTTTGAAATACTTGATACCTAACAACGCCTCTTGAATTACTATTGCAGAACCCGATATCCACCAAACCCCCAGGGTTCACGCCCTTCGCAAAGCAGATTTTTTGCCCTCTATAAAGGCTGTGAAATGGCCTATTGCAGGAGTTGCACCCACAACCACTGCAGCCCCCCAGATGTCATCTGCATGCCCAGCGTGGACCCTTGAGGCAATGCCAGGTGACAAAAGAAGGAGGCCAAACTGAAAAGGTGCCCTAATTCTCCCAGGTTCTGGTGACCCATCTTTTTCTTGTAAAAGTGAATGTTACACACGTCTCCTCCCTTGCAGTTGGTGGAACAAAACCCGGGCTTCCCAGCTCTGCACCCCAAGTGAAGCAGGCAGTCGTAGGTTTTAGTGGCCAGGCGGATGAGGCACAGAGAAGGAATCCCTCTGAGATATATTGAGTTCCAGAGGAAGCAGTGAGATAAGAAGAAACCCAGGCACTGTGCTAGAACCTGAAATAATTATTTTCAGTTTTGTTTCACAACCAAAACAAAACACTTTCTAATCATGCTCTTTTGCCATTTTATTTCACAAAATCATGGAGCTCTTCGGTTATTAGCTCCCGTTATCAGCTTCCAGTGACTAAATGCCGAAAGCTTGCCTGAGGATACATTGCCCTCAGCAGCTTTGTCTGCATTGTCTTTGCTGTCCTTACGACAGGGATGCGAGGCAGGCACCACTCTCCACGTGCAGCAGATGAAGACTCCAAGGCTCTGTCTTTGATTCGAACCCAGGTTGTAAAACTCGTGCTACAAACTGGGTTCCTCTCACTGTACAACCTCTTCATGCTGATGACTTCTGCAAAACATCTCCATCATCATCCCATGTTTTCTCTAAAATCCAGTCCACATACTCAGCAACTTTGGTGTAGACACCTGGCTGCTCCCTGCGGGCACAGCCTTCACCCCAGCTGGTGATGCCCACCAAATTCCAGATTCCGTTGTGCTTACAAACTAAGGGGCCACCTGAATCTCCCTGTGTCACAGTGGAAAGATAAAATGACAGAAAGTTATGGCANAGGGGCCACCTGAATCTCCCTGTGTCACAGTGGAAAGATAAAATGACAGAAAGTTATGGCACATGTGATTCAAATAAGTGACTGCCTTCAATTTTCCATAGTCACTCTACATACCATACACACGCATGCGCGCACACACACACACACACACACACACTCACACACAAAATTTCAGGTTACTCATGTGCTTCATTAGAAGGGGCCACCTGAATCTCCCTGTGTCACAGTGGAAAGATAAAATGACAGAAAGTTATGGCATATGTGATTCAAATAAGTGACTGCCTTCAATTTTCCATAGTCACTCTACATACCATACACACACACGTGCGCACACACATACACACTCAAACACAAAATTTCAGGTTACTCATGTGCTTCATTAGTGGATATAGTAAAAATGACTTAACTCAATAGTAAATCCAACAAAGAAATTTTGACATCGTCATCCCAATGTCAAAGAAATCTAATGCTCTTATACGATTATTGTAAGTAAACTGTCCTCCCTTAAATAAATACAGCATACACGTGCACAGTTGGAACATGCATATTGTACATAATATATAAGATATATATATTCAATTTGTTAAAAGTTACTTATAAAATTAACAGATCATTTGTCTCTGAATTTTTTTAAAAACTACAATGAAATATAGTATTGGAAAATATATTTTGAAATGAATTTTTTACATAGCCTCTCGTGTGTTTTTCATAATCTAATGCATTACCTTACAAGCATCTGTTCCCCCTTCTTTATAGCCAGCACAGACCATCTGCTCGGTTATTTCATAATCTCTATATCTTTTCTGGCATTCTTCATTAGTTACCAAAGGAATATTTGCCTTTTGTAGAGTATTTTGGATTTCACCTGTGAAGTAACCAACATATAACTTCAGAGGGAGGAAATACAATAAATATGGAAATAAGACTAAAGTTTTAAATATGGAAGTAAGACTAAAGTTTTAAATATGGAAATAAGACTAAAGTGAATTAGAATGGTGGGTGAACTTTCCATAAGGGTCGTATCTTTGGATAAAAAAATAGACAATAAAGATTGAGAAAGTGGAGTTACCCACATACACAAGAATATAACTTCAGAGGGAGGAAATACAATAAATATGGAAATAAGACTAAAGTTTTAAATATGGAAATAAGACTAAAGTGAATTAGAATGGTGGGTGAACTTTCCATTAGGGTCGTATCTTTGGATAAAAAAATAGACAATAAAGATTGAGAAAGTGGAGTTACCCACATACACACGAATACACACACACACACACACACACACACACACACAGAGTGTCTGTATTGGCCTCTTGTCTCTTATGCAGTGTTGGGACAACTCCAGCACCCTAGACTGACTGGAAACTTGGCTACCATATTTTCTGCCATTCTCTCATCTCAATAGAAGTCCCTCAGAAATCCCTTCTCATATTTATTGCCTACAATCCAAAAGCTTGAAAATTTTTATCTTCTGTTCTTTTGTTTTACACATTCAAAATTATAATTTAAAAATATACCATTTTTGAAAAAGGCTCAAACCTCTGACAACAAAGAGGTATTTTGTTTTTTGAGTAAATGCAAGTGAGCATTTTCCACAAAGAACAACTTATTTACAGATCATTTAAATTCCATCTGAGTCCAGGTTCCCCTTGGATAGATGTTGGGAGCTTTCTTTGCTTAGTTTAGGTTATTTTCATGTTTTCCTGTCTCAAGTTACTAGTATAAAAATTGAAATTTTGAATTAGTTGAATATAGGACTGAATCAGGAAAGATAGAGAGAGCTTGGCAAGCTATCTCCTTTTGTAGAGAATGACAGAAATATTACTCTATATAGTGTCTATCAGGAACATAATTTTAGGAAAAAAAAAATGATCTGTTTTCCTGAAAAGTTCAAAGTTAACTGAAACACTTCAAATATCCATAATCAGGGATTGTTAATGTAGCGTTCTTAATGCACATGATCCATAAACTTGGATAGGAAAAAATATATATACATCTTTATCTGCACTAACCTCCAAATGAAGCCTAATACTCCTTTCATTTATGAATGTGTCAACAAACACAGTAGTATTAGTTGTACCTATGACTTTGCCTCTAGTAGAGATCACAGCTATTTTCATATCGCATTGCAGTTGTGGCACATAACTGAAAATATCATTTATCTTCACCGTTATTTCAAAATTATGTAAGGTATTAGAACAACTTGCTATGTAATATATTAATAAAGGAGCACATATATTACTATATCAGTTTTTAAAAAGTATTTTGATTATAGTATTGCAATTTAATTGGTTTCGTAGGTTTTGTAACCTATGAATTTGATTTATGTATTTAAAAGCGTTATTAGAAAAATGGTTCATAGGCTTCATTGGATTGCAGGAAGAGTGCATGAAAAACGAAGATTAAGAATTGGCCATAAGGAGAGATGGCATGCTGGACTACACTCCTGGCAATTAATATTAAAGGAGAACATGGCCTTGGGAGATGAGAATGCTATTAATACTGAGGACCAGATGGGCTTGAATGGGCTTGTTAGCTCTGTGTGGCCCCAATCATTTATATAAAGTCAAGCAAATGATTTTTATTATAAAGTAAGATGCTTAAGGTTATTGTATACATTTTTTCAGGCCCAAGCAAAAATAAATCTTCTCAAGAATCACTGAATAAATAGTTGAGAATAGATTGGAAAGATAATAAGTTAAAATATGATTTTAGACAGAAGCTAATCAAACTGATTTACTTCATGCATTTTAACATAAAAGACTTGCTGTAGAAACATTTAAAATGTCAGGCTCTACCTTTTTCCTTTGTGTAGCCCCATCCAGTTATCCAACAGTTTGTATAAGCTGTATTTGTATCATATTTGGAAGGTAGGCATATAGGTTTTTGAAACTCTGTAAGGTAATTTTTAAATTAGAGTTTGGTTAAATAAAGTTATGGATATTGACTTTAAGAAAACATCCTTTTGTTTTTCTGTATTCTCTTTCGACAGAGTAGCACCAAGAATAACGCTTTTGCTTTCTGCTCAACTTCTAAGGTCAATGATTCAAGAAAATTTCTCACTGCCAGAGTCATTTTCACATGGCACTTTTGGCATTAAAATTTCCTGAATTAAATAAAAAACTCAGAACCCAAATTCACTGTCAAAAGCATTTAGTTCTTGTGTCTTGTTCAGTGTATGCTATCCTTAATAGTCATAGCAAAGTGTCTATGCTGGTCCAGGTGTTATTTTAAGTGCTTAACTTATTAATTTAATTATTATAACAAACCGATGAGGAAATTATCCCCATTTTACAGATGAGAAAATTAGAGGTGCAGAGAGGTAAAGCAATTTGCCCGAAGTCACATAATTCTTAATGGATGCAGCAGGCATCCAGGTCCTGTGGGTCATTGTACCTCCAAAGTCAACACCTCCAAACATGATTCTCCAGCCTTCCCAGAGTTTCTTTCTGCAGTCTCTTCTCTATGCAAGTTATATCAGAAAATTAGTATCTGGTCCCACTTGTCCTCATATATTCCTAGTATCCCTAAGTCCAAAGCCATGGTAAGTCTGCTAGTCTTGCCAAAGGAAATCCAGTACCTCCCAGATGGCACAGACAGTTCCAATGCCTATTTTTTCAATAACGTATATGCAGTTGTATTCCTTCCTGAAGGAATTAATTAAAATTTCTTATCCTTTAAGTAGATTTTATGTCAAGTCACAGGGTCTTCACTTCTCTTGCAGCCCTCACCTTTCCCTCAATGCCACCAACTGGAAGATAAAGACAGTCTCTCCAGATCTGCCCTCTCATTCAAACTGATTTGAAAATTTAAGCCAAAACAGTTCAGCTGCCCATCTTCTCCTTAACTATGCTACATACCGGTATAATTCAAAGGAGACTGAAGTTTTATTAAGGCAATATCATGACCACCTTCTGAGATTTTATATTTTTGATGAATAATAATCTCTTCGACTTGTGAGAAAGGTGTTTCTTTTGTAATCTCGGACAGCTCTACAATGCCACCATAAATGCGCCAAATGTCCGGTAAGGAAAGCCTAGGAGACAAAAATAAATACCTATTTGAAGCTGGAAAGACTGGTCTTTAATATTGTTTCTTCTTCCTTTCTCTTCCCTTTTTAAAAAAGAACTGGGAAGGAAATATTACATATGACATGTTTTTTCCTGCCTAATTCCTCCTCCTGGCAATTTGCTATCACCCACAGCAGTGATACTAAATATCCGAAGATTTAGATTAAAACACCAAAAGATGACTAATGCGATTATATCAAGATTACTGCAAGTAAAAATACAAGAATGTTGCTGTCCCATTCAGAGAGAAACTGGTAGGGAGAGACTAACCATTTATTATGGGAAATCAAGCTTAGTTCACCCAACCTGAAAGCAACTGCTTTCATTAAATTTAGAACTATCAAGAAGTCAGACTGATCTTACATAAGTTCCTCTAATAGGGAAAATTAGGGGGACTTCAGTGTTTATAAAATATATCTGCATTTTCCAAAGTATGAAAACTTAAATGATGAATATATACAAAGTAAATTCAAAATTATGACCTGAAGCAAAGTCTTATTTTGTGCAAAGATCTGGAAATTTTTATCATCATCAAGTGAGTGGTGGAAGACATGCTCACAAAAAATTTTAGCAGAAATAATGGAGATAGCAGGTGTGAAGAGGCTTTCTTTCTTTCTTTCAATGAAAACAGTGTTCCCGTGTCTACTATCTCTTATAAACTCACAATATGGAGCCTTCAAGGATGAAAATTCTTGGCCCCAAATTGGAGTGCATTTAGTAAAAAGAGGACCTAATATTTCTCATCTGGAGGCCTTTTCTTCCAAGCCAACCACCTTCCTTCAGCAGGGCCATGTGCTGCAGAGCCACTAATTGAAGGGCGCAGCTGCTAGGTGACAATTTGGAGGAGCCTGGCTCTGCCCAGCTCTGCCACTGACAGCTGGATTTTGGCGGCCCTATACTCAATCTTGCTAGGCAGCAACCTGGACCCTGCCCTTTGAGGCGGGAGAAGGGGTGAATTTTACTAAAACAACCATTCTTTGATTTGTGTTTATTTTAGAGAGTGATACAGTGTCTTTTAGTATCTCTTTTGCTTATTCATAAGCTTTGTCCATTTTTACCTTTCTTATTGAATGCGGTAACCATAGCTCACATTTTTAAGAGTAATTTTTATATTCCAGGGACAGTGCTGATCATTTTAGGTGTGTCACTTAATCCTTCCAATAACCTTACAAATTAGGTACTATTATTATTCATATTTTAAATGAAATAAAACTCAGAGAGATTTACAAATTGCCCAAGGTCATACCTCTAATAAATGCCAGAGCTGTGACTTAGCCCTGTTCTAACTACAAGGTCTAACTGTTTTAAAACTTAAAACCCTGCCATATGTACTACTGGCCCAATAAAATAGAAATATTATATCAAATTATATACATTAAAATATATAGAATAATAAACAATCATATTTGTATTTCATTATTGCTTAGTAACATTTGTGAATCAAACAGTAGAAAGTAAAATTTCTATGGGCCTGAAAAAATAAATTTTTTTTTTGACTGGTAAGGGGATTGCAACCCTCGGCACGGTGTAGTCTGCACCACGCTTAGCCAGTGAGCACACCGGCCATCCCTATATAGGATCCGAACCCGCAGCCTCAGTGCTACCAGTGCCGCACTCTCCCGAGTGAGCCACAGGGCCGGTTGTGAAAAAATAAATTTTTAAAAAATGCATTTAGGGAGTGGTGGGAGGAGCAGGCAGCAGATGGGGCATTTTCTTAGTTTCTCTTTAGGCGGGAGTGACATTCACTCAGGGGCATCAGTCCTGTATACAGGCCACACTCTGTTCTCATGGGTCACATTGGTCAGGGCTCAGATCCTACTAGTTGTTAAATATTATGAATACCATCCCTGCTTTAAAATGTCTTTTATTGAAAAAGAATAACTCTCCATCAATAAAGTCACTTGATGATGAAGAAACTGATTATAGATTCTTTGAAACAAAAAGATGAGATAAGACTCTGTATAAGACACACCCAAAACTTACCCATCAAAGCAATGAGCAGCTGTCAGGACCCACTGGCGTCCAATGATTGACCCTCCGCACAGGTGTCTGTGAGTTGACACCTTCACCTGCAGGCTAACCTGCCAGGGCCACTCTCCCCAAGTAGAGTTCATTCCTCCAACAATGCGTGCATTTCCTTTTGCTGTGCAAACTAAAAAGAGAGTTTTGAAGCTAATGGTTGGGATCAGAAGTGAATCAGGCTCCCCTTCAGCCAAGGAAAACAAAATACGTAATTACGTTTTATAAATGAATACAGAAATCCCTCTAGAGTTCCATGAACAAATGAGGTTTACTCACCAGAGCCATCCCCAGTTTTACACAGTCTCAGAGAATAGCCAGAGCTCTTTTGTGCCCCATACGTAATTGTAGTTGGAGAACCATCCAAAGATAATTTTAAGGAACACTTACACCTGGATAAGATGAACAGCATAAAGATTAAACCTTCACAGAGGACAAAAGTACAGGAAATTATCTTTCTGGCTGTTTTTGAAAAATAAAAATTTCCTTACTTCTCTCCCTTACAGTCTTCTGGGAGTACAGAATAAGAAAAAAACTGACAGCGAATTATCTTTGTACAAGTCTCTTGGCAAACATTCACTCCTTCAACAAAGGTCACATTCAATTCTTCTCCTCCAAAGTCAACTCCGGGGTAAATTTTGGAATGGCAAGGTTCTGTGCCAATTATAAACATAAAAAGATATAAAATGAGAAAATCGATAAACCACATTTACACAAGTTTCTGGTATCTCGAGGATTGTTTCATCACTATTACTTGTTAGAAAAATCATAAAATTTGTTACATTTAGGTAATACTATTGAATCACATTACCAGGCAAAGTTCTTTTGCAGGTTAAAAGGCTATATCCAGACATGGCGTTTTCTTGAGGAGTAGGGGAACTCGGTGTCCCACTTTCAGAAGTCTTAAGGAAACAAACATTTCTATTTAAAAAAGCAAGAGAGAAAAAGAAAACTGCATTAAAGGCATTAGGCAAACACAAAAGCAGCTCACATTTAAAAAAAAAAGCAACCTTGCAAATTTTATTCTTCTCAGAAGCTCTTTTCAAAGCAAGTCAGACGACAGGACTCCACAAATTACAGAGATTAAATGTAAATCAAGCCACATGTCTCTGTAGAAAACTAATAGGCACAGATAACCTGACAAAAGGACAATGGTAAAGTTCCACCTTCTAACTGGAGGGAAAGAGACCGAAAAAACCCAGTAATCATCAAAGGACAAATGTGGGGGATTTATGCTGCCAGGGCTATTCTATAACTATACCCTTCTCTTGACCCCATGCTGTATGTAAAGAAAAAGGTGTGTTATCTGAGGGTGAAGAGGTCAGACCAGAACCCTGATTAGGATACTCAGGGCTCTAGTTTCTAAAACAAAGAGGAGTTAGAACCAACAAGCTGCAAGGATATAGGAGGACTGCCCGCCAGTGGATTTTACTCCAAGCTCATGCAAAATACTCAGATCAGTATGAAAGGCATCAGATCCTCTTTTTCCCAGGGCTGTTATTTCATTGACTCAATGGAATGTTTCAAGTAAGAGAAGGTAGATAGGAAAGTCTGCTAATCCCGTAACTAATTGCACCTGCAGAAAGTACCTGCTTAAACTGCAGATCCAGTGTTTTGAGGGAAGTAAACAAAAGTCTTTTTTTTTTTTTTTTTTAACTCAAGCTGAAAGAAAAGCAGTGAAAGAACAGCGGCAAAGGCGACACCTTCATACTCACAAAGGCGACACCTTCATACTCACCTTTGCGACTCTTTGTGCCACGCATCCGTGTAGAACGTGAAGAAGAGGCAGGTGGGGTGATAGGTGCAAATGGTGCGACATACAAAAGCGTCTGGAGCGGTAACCCTGGCAACATCCACACCCGAGAATGCAAGATGTTGGAAAATGTTCATGTGGCAGCCTGTGAACTCACAGGGAGAAGACGTTCTTCAATAAAGGACATGATAACACATTTGCTTGTACTTCGCCATCATAACTAAGGAAATTATGACTATTTATTATTCACAGCATTAAACATCCTAAGTGGAAAAAAAAAATGTCTGTTAACATATCTCTGAACTTGTTGTTTGCCATTTGGGAGAGGGCAAAATTGGTCTAACTCTGATAAGAGACAAATTCCTATGTCAATAGGAATAGAAATAAAATAGCTCAATCTGTGCTCTTAAGTTTGTCTTTCACCAATGTAAAAGGTTTAAGTTACTTAGCACGTGTTCATATTTTCTGTATATTATCCTGAGCCTGAATTCCAGGCCCTAAAAACATAAGGTTTTATGTTATATTTTCCTATTATAAAAAATATTTTAATAAAAAGATTAATAAAAATACCAGGCAGCTAACAAAAATATTATGTGCCCATTAAAATTGGAAAAGGAGGAAACCCACTTTTACTACCTTTATTTAATTTAATTCCTTAATTCTATTCTTATTTATGTTCATATTATTTATTGAGTTTATTCAATTTGATAACATAAATTCCACTAAAACTATAGAAACTTTAAAAATAGTGATAGCAATTATGGGGAGGATAAAAACAGTCATAATTTAAATGAACACAGTAGGATCAAGTGAGAGGACCTCCCATTATATCTTCGTATGGGCCATCTAGGAAATTAAACCTCAACTAACTAAATTAAAAAATAAATAAATAAACTCTTGAAGTCGGAAGATAATTTATGGGTCATCTATGCCAGCCTGCAATGGCATCCTCACAAGGACATCCCTGATGGGTTGTTTTACAACTTTTACTTAGAGTGATAAGGAGCTCACTAGTTCATGACAAGGCTCATTTCTTTTTTGGACCACTCCAGATGTTGGGATTCTTTCCCTCATTTTCTTCTAGTATTTACCTAGGTCTACCCTATGGAACCATACTGATTAGTCTAATATTTTTTCCAATAGCAGCCATTCCCCTCCCCCCAAATTAAGACAGTTATTCTGATTCTTTTCATGTTAAATATCTTTAATTTCTTCCTTTAATTATATTTCATTTTCTGTTATTTGTAGATATTTTACCATCTCCGTTGCCCTCTTTTGAAGTGCTCCAGCTTTTCATTGCTCCACACAAAGTGTGGATACAAAACTGAGCACAATATTTCAGTCATGATCTGACCTGTGCAGATGACAAAAGAACAGATGTCTCCTTGTTCTGAAGACCATTTTCTTTTGTAAAACTACTTTATTTGTTTTTGTTTTGTTTATCTAAAGCACTACAGGATGTTAACAGGAATGGCAGAGTAAAGACCCCCCCAAAATCGTCTTCACCACAAAAGTAATGAGAGTGTTGGCAAAATTATCAAAACCTTCAAAAATCAATTAGCCTTTGGTTAATTTCAGAACTCTGGAAATTAACTAAAGACTTATAATAATCCAGGGGGCATTTATTTAAGAAAAAATGGCTAAATATCAGTAAGAACAGTGAGCTTTGTGGGCTTTTAACTTGCCCTATGCAAATCCCCTTCTGCTCAGCTCCAAGGAAACCTGAAAACAGCCCCACATTTATGGTGAAAACCAGCAGCCTAGCAGCCACTGGAGAAATAGGGTTGGAGCTACTCCAAATCCCCATTCCTAGGTAATTATCTGGAAGTTGCCTGGAAAATCCCCTGCACACACGTGGTTTGAATTTATTTGAACTGGCTCAGAGCTTGTCCAGTGCTATCAGTCTTTCCCTAGGCAGCATTTTTCCAAAAAAAAAAAAATTACTGGAGAAATAGGGTTGGAGCTACTCCAAATCCCCATTCCTAGGTAATTATCTGGAAGTTGTCTGGAAAATCCCCTGCACACACGTGGTTTGAATTTATTTGAACTGGCTCAGAGCTTGTCCAGTGCTATCAGTCTTTCCCTTGGCAGCATTTTTCCAAAAATAAAAAATAAAAAAAGTGGCAATTATATCAAACTGCAGATGCCTAAGGCAGCAATAACAGCTGTGCCAAACAACATGCCAATAAAAAAAATCGTAAAAGAAAAACTTGTGGAAAGACATGTATGGGGTGTGTGTAAAAATCTCTGACATATTCCTGGGAATCTAGAAGGCCACATGCATGTATAGAGCTCTGCACATGTTTATAAAGACCTGAAAAAATCCTAAACTGTCTCTGCTGCCTGACCTTGAGCTCTGTGAGCTTAGTACCAACAGAAAGTGAAGGCCAGGGCAAAGTTTTAAAATGCCTACCTGGGCATTGGAGACATGCCACAACTCACAAAGAGCCCTTATCAGGAAACTTGGAAGCCTGGGATAATTATTAGCTCTGGGCATTTAAGAAAATCCCTGTCCAATCATTAGTTATCTACTAAGGAAACCAAGAAGTGACCTCAGTGGCCATATAGAACAGAGAACACATACTTTGCAGGATTAGTTCAGGAAAGTCACCAAACAAACAGCAATAACAACAAAAAATCAGTAATAAATTCTGAAAGAGTGGATTTGATATCTAGAAGTTGCTCCATGTTATAGTTTAAAAGGTCTAATTGTTTACAAGAAGATTATCATACATGAAAAGAAACAAGAAAGTATGGCCCATACACAGACAAAAAAAGTGATCAGTATAAACTGCTGCCATGGAAACACAAACTTTGGATTTACTACACAAATATTTTAAGTAAGCTATTTTAAATGTGTTCAAGGAACTAAAGGAAACTAAAGAACTAAAGAACTGAAGAAAAATATGAGAACAATGTCTTGCAAAGAGAGAATATCATAAAGAGATAGATTTTTTTAAAAACTCAACAAATAGAAATTCTGGAGTTGAAAAGTACAACAACTGAAATTGAAAATTCACTAGAGAGGCTCAACAGCAAATGTAAGCTGGCAGAAATAAGAACTATCAAATTTGAAGACAGGTCAATTGAGATTATCCAGTCTGCAGAACAGAAACAAAAAAGATGTTTTAAAAAATTGAACAGAGCCTCAGAGACACAAAGTTTACCAACATATACATAATGGAAGGTGCAGAGGAGAAACAAGAGAGAAAGAGGCAGAAAGAATAATTGAAGAGATAATGGCTGAAAACTCCCTAAATTTAGTGAAAAACATTAATTTACCCATCCAAGAAGCTCAGCAAACTCCAGTAGGATAAACTCAAAGAAAGCCATGCTAGACACGTCATAAACAAGCTGTAAGCAAAAGACAAAGAAAACAGTGAGAAAGGAATGACTGTCACACTCAATGTGTTCCCAATACGAATAACAGCTGATTTTTCATCAGAAACCATGAAGACTCAAAGGCAGTGGGAAGAGACATTCAAAATGCCAAAAGAAAAGACTGCTAACCAAAAATTCTATATTCAGCAAAACTCCCCTTCAAAAACGAAGGGGAAATTAAGACATTTCCAGATTTACAAAAACTGAAATAATTCATCACTAGCATACCTGTCCTACAAGAAGTGCTAAAGACAGTTTTTCAGGCTGAAATGAAAGATAACTAGACAGTAACTAAATCCACAGGAAGAAATTGAGAGCATCACTAAAGTAAATACATAGGTAAATATAAGGTGGTAAAATATATTTTGGTTTGTAACTTTTATACTACCAGATTTAGAAGACAACTATGTAAAATAACAATTGCAAAACTGTGTTGATAGACTTACAATTTATAAAGATACCTTTTGTATGAAAATAATAGTACAAAGGTTTGGAGTAGAGAATGGAAGTATGTAGAAGAATTTTTTTATACTATTAAAATTAAGTTGCTGTTAATCCAAATATATTGTTAAAAGTTAATATGTAAATTATAAGCTTCAAGGCAACCACTAGGAAAATAACTAAAAAAAAAAAAAAAAATAGAAGAAATAACAATGGGATTTAAATGGTACAATAGAAAATAACTATTTAGCACAAAAGAATCCAGTAAGTGAAGAATAGAGGAATAAAAATGACACAAGACATAAAAAACAGATAGCAAAATAACACATATAAATCCTACCTTATCAGGAATTACATTTAAGTTAACTAATTTAAGCATCCATATCAAAAGGCAGACATTGGCAGAAAAACATAATCCAACTACAGTCATGTGTCACTTAACAATGGGGATATATTCTGAGAAATGTGTCATTAGGTGATTTTGCCATTATGTGAACATCAAAGAGTATACTTACACAAATCTGGATGGCATAGCCTACTACACACTTAGGCTTATATGGAATAGCCTATTGCTCTTGCCACCATCATGTTATAGTCTGCTGTTGACCAAAATGTCATTATGTAGCACATAACTGTATATGCTAACTACAAGATACATATGAGATTCAAAGACACAAATAGGTTGAAAGTTAAAGGATGGGCAAGATACATCATACAAACAGTAATCAAAAGAGAGCTGGAGCAGCAGTACAAATATCAGATAAGACAGATCTTAAGACAAACATTTGTTGCTAGAGACAAGAATGACATTTTATGTTAAAGCAGGAATACGTCAAGAAGATACAACAAATGTAAACATATGTTGGCCTACACAAGAGTTCAAAATTACATTAAAGGGAGAATAGATAATTGAACAATAATAGTTGCAATGATAGTTCAATACCCTAATTTAAATAACAGATAGAATAATTAGGCAGAAAGTTAAAAAAGAAATAGAAGACTTGCAAAACACATTAAACTGCCTAGACCTAACAGGCATCACTAGAATACTCCACTTAACAACAGCAGACTACACATTCTTCTCAAGTATCTCATGGAACATTTTCTAAATATGCCACACGTGAGGTCATAAAATAAGTCTCAATAAATGTAAAAGAATTGAAATCATACAAAGTGTATTTTCCCACCATAATGGAATGAAATTCAAACAAAAATGTAATTTGGGAAATTCACAAATATGTAGAAATTAAACAACATGCTCCTAAATAAAAATGAGTCAGGGAAGAAATCACACAGAATATTAGAAAATACTTTGAGATCAAT